TATGTGCAAAATCGTATTGTCTGGCAGTTCAAGGAGTTGAGAAACTTGGATTCTTTTTCATAGACATCTTGCTTTTCCTTCAAAAGGAAAGAAAACATTTTAGTGCTAGTTCTAGATAATTTATATATGACCATGAGAAGACTTGTTCCTCATACAACTGAAGTAGATCACACCGTTATAAAAGTACCAAGTTTCCTTTTGAGTGTTTTGAACTAAGAAGTTACTTTGCGAAAGAAGCTATAAGCAGGAAATCCACTTGGATTCAAGGCTTCATTATATACAATCATCCCACTAACATTCTTAGGGGAACTATGCTGGATGCTGAGATTGTAACAATAAGAAAAGTTACTGACTTTCAGATACAGCAGAAAGATCAAACCAAAAAATGTAACACAATGATTTTTTAAAATCCTGCAGTATTTTAACTGCTAAATAGACAACAAAGTGCTTTGAAAAGACAGAAGAGGAAACAACAGAGAACACGTAGAATACTATGTTCTCAATAAGTTTCTGATAATGCTGGGTGTGTATTTCTTTAAAATCCTGCAGTATTTTAACTGCTAAATAGACAACAAAGTGCTTTGAAAAGACAGAAGAGGAAACAATAGAGAACACGTAGAATACTATGTTCTCAATAAGTTTCTGATAATGCTGGGTGTGTATTTCTTGAGCTGAGCATGCCAACACAATTCCTAGGCTTCCTCAACGAAGACATTTGTAGAGACCTCACAGCTCCTTAGGGAAGCCTAAACAATTTTGTCACCAGCACAAATACTATGGCTGTTCTTTTGTCCATCACCTCGACCTATAGCCTGATGCCAAGGAGCAGGTGAATACACTGGACTCCCAGGGGATGTGACTCCCAGTGTGCACAGTCACCTCTCTGCTACTGCTCACACATACCCAGAAGAAAGGGATCTTCGGCTGTAAGGGAAAGAGATATTCTGCCATGATGACTTTCTTAAATTGAAAATGTATTTTGTGTGTGTGTATGCATATGTAGATAAAAACATTTGAATATGCGTGGAGAACGATGGGGAGGATACAATCCAACTGTAGCAACACCCAGCCCCAGGAAGACAAATAGGAGGAAGAACATGGAGGTAAAATTTATACAATTCCACATTATTTGAACTTTTAACGTTGAGCATGATACCCTTATAATTTTTAAATTTCAATAATTATGCTTGAAATTGGTGGGGAAAAGAGTAGTTTCCAAGCCAACCTGAATGCTGTTGATAGATGAGGAGAGATCCCATACTTTGAGCTCACCAGCTACTGATACCACCAAGAGAGAATCTTCTGTAAAAAGAAAAAAGGTCACCTATAAGTTGACTGCTACTATCACTTCTTGCTGAAAAATTCATTTTGTAGTCATTTAAGAACTATGCAGGGCTGTGTAGGTGGGAAATATTCAGCTTTTTTTTTTTTAATGAAAAAATAAACATTTCACATCATGTTCCAAATTTGTTTTAAAATCTCAAAATCATCCTTACGTATAAAGAGAATATCACTAAAAGCAGAACCACATTACAAATCATCATGTTGGGAATATTAAACCTTCCTATGTCAGAAATAAAAAAGGGACCAGCTTCCATTTGCCTGTGTAGTCACTCTTTACAGAAACTGAATTCCCCTCATTATTCCATCCACAAGATACAGCAGGAAAAAAGTTCTAAGAGTCCTGCTGATCTACAACAAAAACCTGCTCATAATTCTTAAAATATGCTGAGCAGAACTGGGTCATGGAAACACAGATTCTCCTCTTTTCACTTCCGTTTAACCTCTCAATGACTTTCCAATGACTTGGGTATTCTCAATTTTTCTTGATCTGGTTTAGAGTGTCATCCTTAACTACAGGTAAACATAAAGCATTCTGAACTCTTGCCCCCAAATTAACAAATATTTCAAACATAGATATTTTTACATGTCCTTAATGTTACGATTACCTTGAACTCTCATGGAGTGAACAATGCACATGCAGTTGACCCAATCTGGAGACTGAGATGATGTAAAAGAGTGAACAACAGCCAAAGTTCTGGCATCAATGATAAGGACATCTTGATATTCTCCACAGCACAGAAGCCAGCCTTCTCCTGTCATCCGGAATGAGCAGTGGTAATACTATGCAAACAGAATTCAAAGCAAACTTAATTATCACTAGAAATTGACATAATTTTGGCTGTGTTAAAGACGTCTCTGGATTTTAGTTTTAGCATCTGTTCAATTAAAGTATTAGACTGAAAAGCAGCTGAAATCTCTTTTAGTTCAATTACTCTCCACTCCTAAAGTGTTGATTTTACACTTCAGTATCACTTATATTTTATCAGTTTTCAGGAGAAAGGGGGATCTTTTGGAAAGAAGAAATCCTATTCCAAATCTCGTAATTCTCACAAGTATATTATTACTGGAGTGCTATTTAGAACTAAACAACACACAATAAAACCCAGATTCCTTACCTTACCAACATTGCTACACATTAAGAAGGAATAAAAGTAATAGGGCATTTGAGGAGTTCTTTTGCCAGATAAGTTTTGGGAATGGCTTTTATTAAAGACCAAGGGGTACATTCTACTCTTAACAAGCTCTCTCACTATGAAGGGTTTTGGTCCCAGAGAATAGAAAGGAGCTTGTGAGAATAGAAAGGAGCAAGCCAACAGCACTAAAAGCAATGTGTAAAAAAAAATAAATTAGGGCCGGCCTGGTGGCGCACTGCGCTAGTGCGCCGCTTGGGAAGCGCGGAGGCGCTCCCACCGAGGGTTCGGATCCCACATACAGACCGGTTCCCGCTCACTGGCTGAGCGAGGCGCGGGGGCAATGCCGAGGGTTGCGATCCCGTTGCCAGTCCCGGTCCGGTGCGGGGGCGACACTGAGGGTTGCGATCCGTTGCCGGACACGGAAAAAGACAAAAAAAAAAATTAAAAAAATAAATAAATAAATTAAATAAATAAATAAATATATATATATATATATATAT